GCCGTTGATGATACAGTAGTCCCGTCGAGAGTTTATCAGAGGTTCAATGAAGCACAAAGGCAGGACACTACATTGGAGTCCAACTTGTTCTCCCAGTCCTCGATGCTGAGGGATCTGCCTGCAGAGTCCATGTCGCATAATGAGGAGTGCCGGACTAAGTATGAGTACTCAGTTCATGATCCGTGACCTGGAGGAAGCCTGCCGACCGAACGTGCTGTCAGACCATGCTCAACATGGGCCCACCTTGAGAGGCGAAGGGTCGGTCATCCTCTGAGCCCACCATGGCAGAAGGGCCCCTTTGGGGCACGATCCCTGGCTGCCTCTTGCCGGATTAGCATTGAAGCCAGCTCGGAACCAGAAAGCTGCATGCAAATGTTGAATCTGTGCAGCCAGGCACGGCCAGGTCATCGCTCTGCGACTCCAACGATGTGGACATATATACATAAGTATGTGCATATAACAAGTGTTTGTACATATGCCTGTAAATAGGTAGGTAGGTCGGTGGGTAGGTAGGTAGGCAGGCAGGCAGGTAGGTGGGCCGGTAGGTCGGTCGTATCGAAACCCTTGGTTGGCCTGGATGGCTTTCATCTGCTGCGGAAGGGCTTCTCGTGTCCGCGCAGGCTCTGCTTCAATGCACCTTGGAGCGGCGAGCTGCCCGAAGGGGTTTAGCTCCATTTGCCGGTTCCGGTATGCTAGCTCAGAGAGGGAGGGAGGATGCAATCCTGTATGTGTATGTGTACAGAGTACATATATATATATATACATACATACATACACACATATGCGTGTGTTTATATGTATATACATTCATACTAACATATACATACTACGTAATGCCCTAGACCTGTCAGACCGACCCTCAGAAGTTCGGCTCCAGGACGTCCTGCCTTACCGAAAACCTTCCCAAGAACTTGCGGTGGGGTCCAGTGAGGAGGGCGTCCTCTAGCGGCTGCTGCTTAGGCCCAGTGAGTATGCTTGATATTCTTGACGTTCGCGCACCATCTCCATAGTTTACGTCATACTGCTGGGTCCATGAAGCATCTTGAACGAATAAGGCTATGAAGTATATGAGGGATTGCCTCCACAACCGTAGCACGACAGTATCAGGCTTCTACGATCCACCAAATCTCTAAAGCCAAAACGAAGCCAAGCTGCTGATCGATTGCCTCAAGGAGAGCAGCTCGAGCTTTTGGGGCATTCTCTCTGTGCTGGGCCGCTTCTTTCGCCATTTGCTTCTTCAGCGCAGCGATCCGGGTCCTGGGCTTTTTGGAATGGTACAGATTCCCTCGCCGCACGGAGATGACACACATAACGAGTGTTCAACCCGGTTAGGGTTGCGGCGTTGCTAGTGCATAGAGATTTTACGGGAACGGGATTGAAAGGTAGTCAGCAGCTCAGCAAAGCTTCGTGTTGCCCGCATCAATGGCCGCGTATATCAGGCCTCGAAACTCGAGTGCTGTCGCCAAGCTGGGCGTCCATGGGGACATCACTCTGATCTTCTTGCCTGGGATGCCTTGGCGCTTGCAAATTACCGTGCACTCTAGACTCTAGCGAATCCTCAGACATGTCAACGGCGTGTGTTTCTGGACCCTGAGCCTCCGGCCGTGCACATCGGACGCGAACTGGAATGTCCAAGAGGCTTCGGCCATCAAGGCCTCCAGCTCCTGCCTGTCCAAAGGATGCACCTCCTCTGCAGGCTTTTTCAGGCCCGCGGTGCCCCCGGTCGCCGACTTTCTGTGCTCCAGGTACTTTGTGCAGCGTGCAAGCGCTCGTTGTCGCGTATTCATGGCTGCGACATGTATTGCCAGAGCATGCTCCAGGGTTGGGATATGGGTGGCTCGCATCCGGAACGATCGCCAGCTCACATCAACCGAATAGCCAGTTCGTTGGCGCGAGAGGCCCTTGCTGCTGGTTTCTTCCGGCTCTGCATCCTCCAGTGGCGCTTGCTTGCTCATTCCCTGCAGCTTGCTCCTGAACTTCTTGAGAACTTCGACCTTGTAGAGCTTCAGCTCGTCGGCAGGGCACTCCCCTCGCAGCAAGAGCGCTGCGAAGAGCCGGTCCGAGCACTCGGTCAAGCTGGTCTCTTCTTCAGCCTCACCAGGGCCAAGGAAAACAAGGAATTGCTGGTGCAAATACAAACTCAGCGTGAGCTCCTGTTCCAGTTACGAAGGATTTTGGAAAGTCTGACAAGAGTGAAACAACCATCACTGTGTTGGCTTGACGAGCCTGCGTTTCGGGCGAAGGGTGTTGCGGGGCTTGAGGTAGTGGGCTCGGGGCTTGCAGACCTGGTGATAGTGGGAACCCACACATCAGGCCTTATGTCCTGCAAGGTCCCAGGAGTATCTAAGGGCAGCAGCACGGAAACAATGGCACATTCCTGCGCCCCTGATGAAGACCGGCACTCTATTAACTTGTCTGAAGTACGAAACCTCCTGCCCCGTGGCGCAAAGCGCGGCCTTGCGCAGAGACTCTCTCAGGGCCATGTAGGCGGCTTGGACTTGGCCGAACAAGGCCGAGGAGCCCCCCTTGTCAGGGTGAGTCCTGAGAAAAAGGACGAGATGAACGCGGAGCCCACACCCTGGGTGCGTCCCACTACTAGCACTGGTAGTACGAGTACAGGCTACAGGGCGAGAGGAGAGGCCGAGAGATGTAAACGCAGGACAACGCAGGCCTGTGGGACCGTCTAGTACGAGTACGAGAGAGAGAGAACTGCATCGACTGCTGCTGAGGCACTGCAGCGCCCTGCGGCGATAGGCGACGTTGATCTCGCGCAAGGATGCTCCGGGCTGCAGCTCCAGCTCCCTGTAATGACCTCGCTTCGAGATGAACAAACTCTGAGCCTCGGCGTTCGCCGAGACGACACGCTTCAACGATACTTTTCGAAGGCAAGAGGCTTTCAAGGTCGTTGCGACTTCGGCCAGCCGCTGCAGCCGTGTCTGGTGCTTCTGGAGGCGCCGCTGATGTGGCCACCGCATCCCCCCCTCTCCGCTTGAAGTAGCTGCTCAAATCTGCTTGCCGCTCAACTGTGGACGCTGGAGAAATCCTGGCTTGAGCTGGCGCAGCTGGCGGATCCGCCGAAACAGCCTCTGGCTCTGCTTCTGCCTTGGCTCAGCTCTGAACGACTTCGCACGAGCGCTTTCGACAGTAGGAAAGCCTCGCAGCCGCCCCGAATCTGCCAAGCCACCACCGCTTGCTTTGGTTGCGCTTTGCGTTTTGCCGGACACTTCGCTGCTGCCTGAATCTTCTGGCCATGGAGATAGATGCGGGACGAAAGTGTGCTCAAAACACGGCCCTTCCGACCTTTGGCAGCTTGCGCTTGCCCGCGCCAGGCTCGTCCTTGCCCGCGCCAGGCTCGTCAGGCTGCGGGTCGGGATGCCTCGCTGCGTCCTGCACTGCCTGCAGGCATTTCGCAGAGTCTACGCAGAGTTCAGAGTCCAAACCTGCAAACATCAAGTTGCTGTGACATACTTTGCGTCGCTACCGGAGTCACTGATTGACAACTTGGGCTTTCTGAGCGCTTCTTGCCTCCGGCCGGTGGGGCCCCCCGGCCTCGCAGCACACACGAGGGCAGAGGAAACAGATCGAACAGTTGACAGTTGGCGCTGCCTTCAGTTCTGCAATGATCTTGTCGAGGGCTCCGCCGTGCATGCCCTTGGTGTTTGCTCTGAAGGGAAGGTTCTGCAGCTTCTCGACGATGCCTCCGGCAAAACTTGCAGTGCGGTGAAACCGTAATCGTATGCGAGCGATTGCAGCCGGGTGCCTGGGCAAAGGCGGGTTGCCACCTCCACGCAAGCCTCCCTCTCTCGATGGAAAATTCCAGCGCCATTAGGCCGGTTCGTCACCTCGAGTCCAACACGATTCGAGGGAGCCATTTGCTTTGTTTGGTGGCCTTGAGGCGCTCTTATTCCTCCAAATCGCATTAAGAACTCTATAGTTCTCGGAAACCCAGGCTCGAGTAACCCTCGCCTCTCCCCCCTCTCCGTACCCCATATAATATAATAATATACTATAACATAATATAACATACTATAATATAATATAACATACTATAATATAATATAATATAATATAAGATAAGATAAGATAAGATAATATAAAAGATCAGATAAGATAAGATAAGATAAGAGAATATCCCCCCCTCTTATACCGGAAGCAGAGCGTCAAGGTCCGCAAGCTCCATCAGCTTGCGCTCCAGCTCCGAGGCGGCTGCCCGCTCCTCCTCGGTGTAGGGCCCGCGATCCTAAGATCCAAAAGGCAGCAAACGAATATATATATATAATATATATATATATAATATGATATATAATGTCTAATATCTAATTTCTCATATCTAGAGGGCAAACGGTTTGGGGTTTAGGGGGGAATAGGGGGGAAATGGATCTTCATAGTTAGAACGGGGTTTCCGGGGCCCATTATACCATAATTACAATTAAGGAACCCCCGAAATAGGAGGAGGGGCAGCGCAAAGGCCCACGGGCATGCAACGTTCAGACGGTCAAGAGGACATACAGGACTTGTGCAAGCGAGGCTCCCTGAGCTTGGGTCTCTTTTTGGGTGGCTCAGCCATGGCAAATTACGAATTTCGGATGCGAGGCATGCAATGCACCGAAACGGCGGCAGCACTACTCGTAGAATGCAACTTTGGTTGGGCTGAACCTCAGCTCTTTTCGGTGAGCTACCTCTGACGGAATTGTCCCTGTCTTGCTAGTCGAGGGATCTGCCGGGTGCAGTTACAGTTTCGCATGATATCACAGATTGTTTGTCCCCTTGTCAAACGATGTTTGGCCACTCTTCCCTCTCGCAGACTTGCAAGCCCCTTATCATCGCGGGGAAATGTACCGCGCCAAGCTTGGCTTGAGCAGCAGCCGTTCGTCCAGAACTTTAAGAGATGCTGCGCAGGCATGCCATTCCAATCAAGACGTTCTGGAGCGTTATAGGCACACTCTGTAAGCCTAGACAGTCTAAAACCGTGGAAGCTCGCAGATGCCCTCCGCCGGATCCTCAAGCAGTCCAGGCACGCAGGATGCTGCGGCTTCAAATAGGGGCCGCGCGCCTGGGCTATGCTGAGACACACCACAACTCCCGTAACCGCTTTGATCCGCTTTGGCTGAGGCAGGCGCAGCTGCAGGCATCTGGGTTCAAGGTGCTCAGCTTGGCGTAGGACCTGAGACGGGCTATGACCCACTTCGGGATACGAGATGCCAAGTGCCCCTGCCAGGTCGGTCTCTGGGAGCTGAACCAAAGAATAGTGGACAGCTCGAAGGGCTTGAAGTTCCTGACCTCGCCACACGCAAAGGGTCAGAAAGGACCCCAGCATCCATCCCCTGTACCTGACAGCTCCCGTAATAGCTTTTCTCAGGCTCTCTTAGGGTTGGTTCCTGGCCTGGCCCTGAGCAGGCGTCGCAATGGCCTCCCGGGCGCACAAGCACAGGTCGCAGGGGGCGCAATCGATAAGGTTTGAGAAGCCCTATGCACACGAGGGAGCAGAGGGGGCAGTGCCATGTTTGACGAATTCCAGGAGGTCGGGGCCAGATCGATGTGATGCCACTTCCGGATTCCCAGAGGTCGGATGCACCAAGCACGCTGTCCGATGCTGTACAAGCGAAAATCCCTCGGGGGCTGCGGGCTATACAAGCACTTCAGACTCAGACTCCCCCAGGCAGACGCACTTGCCGATGAACCTGGGAAGGATTCCAGAAGGTTTTGCAGTAACGGGTGCAGTCTCAACTGATTATGATGTCGCGCCGGCTGCATGGGTGTTGGAGAAATGCTTGTGCTTGCGACACATCACCATGTTCAACTGGATGGAAAGTGGGGGGGAAGAAGCCAGTACCCTCTCATGTCCAAGACAGAAGGGCGAAGGTTCGCTTGTGGCTTATGGAATACACATGGCACCAGAAGCCCCGGCCAGGGAACCGCTGCGGCACGATGAAGGTGCAGCGCGGAGCCGCTGTCCCAGTCAGAACTGCCTGGAAGGTGGGCTGAGAGCGGATCGTTCGAACATGCCCCGAAGCCATCATTCTGAACAGGACCAGAATGGTCCTGAATCCTACCTCCAGGCTTCTGGTCCTGGTTTGCAGCAGTTTTCTTAGCCTCCACTCCCTCCCCTGCGCCGGAGCCTTCAGCTCGTGGTATGCATGGCAGGTGAAGTCCCCTGGCTGGGCTTGCTTGGCTGTCTCCACGTTAGTGGCGACCTGATACGATCACATGGCATAAGACTCGTTGAGGATGTAAGCCCGGTGTACTGGAGAGAAACTTATCTCAAGTTGTGATTTCACAGAGACGCTTGGCACTAGTGTTTTCGAAAGTGGTGGAGCTTCTTGCACACGAAGTGGCTGAAACCACGAAGTCGAAGCCTGGAATGTATGTCGTCTGTGACTGGTACCCGTACGTGTCACCCACATGGCCATAAGCATCCGCATCACCGATGCTCCACGCCAGGTTGAAGGTGCCCATTCCATAGAACTTGAAGCTGCCTTGGAAAAGCTCACAGCTCTGTATGAGAGGGGCACTTGCAACTGGGGACTGTGGAGGCGGTGGTTCTGCTTTCTGGACGTGACGTACTGTACGGGTAAATTTTTGCGAACTTTGGGTCGGCAGTGCAGTGATGCGGTGGTGGTAGAGGGCGGCGCCCATGGCGCTGCTGGTTCCGTTGGAAATGGTGGGGGGCGAGCAGTAGGGAGTTGTAAACTATCACGAAAAACAGCAACACAAGGTCTGCGTCCCACCTGCTCTAAAACCCAGAGCGAGAAAGAGACAGAGAGAGAGAGAGACAGAGGCAGACCTGCTTAGATTGTGTCTACGACAAGTGGTACAAGAATGATGACTTCCAGCATGACACTCATTCCTGGAGCGGTGAAGTTTGTCAAATGCGCTTGCGACTGCGCCGTGACAATCTTGGGGTCCTTGGTGTTGTACAGGTCGTATGTAAAGCGAGCAATGTCGGCAACGGAACCCACGTAGTCCCCCGCTGTCCAGCCTCCCAAGCAGCTGACGTTCCAGACGTCCTGCTTCGGAAGCTGTGCGCTCGGATAGAATCCCATGAAGCCGTGCACTGGCGTGTGCTGGCTGCAGGGGCCCTTTTTCACGAACAAGGACTGGGTGAAATCCTTCTGCAAGGCGGCGGGGACCACGCTTGCTTGATCGTAGTCCTGCCAGCTCCACGCAGTGCCGGTTCGATGATGGTGCGTGGCAAGGACGAAGCCCAAAAGAATATAGTTGGTACTGCAGTAGCTCTGGCGCTCTCCCGGCGAAAACTGAAGGGTGGGGCTTACGAACCGGGTCAAGATCTCTACCGGGCCGAAAGCTTTGGATCGGTTGGCAAACTGAGCTGCCGAAAAAGCCTCGCCATCGTAGTCTTGGATGCCGGAGGTCATGTGAAGCAGATGCTGAATTTCCACATCCCGGATCGGGCTGCCAAAGTGGTCCTCCAAGTGCGTGCCGTTCAACTGCAAAAGGATGGGATCGATGTGCAAACTGATGGGATCCGTCAGCTTCACCAAGCCCTGCTCCACCAGCTGTAGCACTGCCGAGGCTGTGATCATCTTAGTCGTCGACCCCCAAACCTCAGGCCCCGCAGGCACCGCTCCCAAGGGACCGGACACTTCCCACGGAAGGCAGGCCAGCGCAACCCGGATGAACCACACCACTTCCTGAAATCCCCTCATTTACAAACTCCCAACCCCCCCATCACCCTGCTTCAACTACCCCTTAATAGGAAGAGTCCCGGCCCGGGCACGTAGAGGTCCTCTGGAACTGCTGGCCGCTTCTTTTGGCCAAGCCCGAGACCTGAGAACCGATCAGAATCCGAAACAGTCGGGATGAAGGTAGTAGTATAGATAACAATAGTAATAAGTCAAGACAAATAGAGAAAGAGAATATGTATGTATGTATGTATGTATGTATGTATGTATGTATGTATGTATGTGTGTGTGTATGTATGTATATGTTTGTGTGTATATATATATATAATTTGCTTGTCTATATATGGCATTTAAGGTAGCGGCCCGGCCCTTCTCATCCCTGCCAGACCCGGGTTCGGACCTGCATCTGTGTAGCCCGAGGCCACGCTAAAGGAGAGGTTCGGGGAGTGGAAGGCTGCCGCCAGTCCCATGTCGTACTTGTCCTGCCAAGGTGGTTTGGGGTTTAGGGTTTGGGGAGGTCAGGATGTGCTGTTGGAGCGACATGCTTGGAGCACGGGTGCAGCATGGGATTTCGCAGCCAGGTCCCGCATCTGGTCAGCCACTTTTGCCTGAGAGCCACGTGTGTGGTTGAGGCGGTTAAGGGTAGCTCACGACAGGCAATCGATGTCAAAGCCTCTACATAAGAAACCTGAAAAGCCAATGTCCGTTGAATCCAAGACTACCTCCAGGGCGGACTTCTGAAAGTCTAGTCTAGAATCCGAACTGCACTTACAAGCAGGGCCCAAGCCCAAGTCGGGGCTTTGGGCATTGACCGAGGCGCCATGGCCGCCCGGAGGCGATCTTCGAGCTGCGGCTGCGCTGCCGCGAGGGCCAAGACCAGGAAGGGAGCCCAGGAGCCCAACGCCATGGCTCCCGGCGGCAAAAGCTGAATTAGGAACTCTTTTCTCGAAGCGACTCGTCGAGGCTCTGAGCCCTTTCTCGCTTCATGCAAAACCTTGCGACGTTCTGGATTTTCCGTCGAAGCCTTCAGAGGCTTGAGCAGCTGCTCGCCGACCCAGCGCAGGCACAAAGACTTAAGCAGCTCGTCAATGTTTTCGCGGGGCTTGCAAGGTAGCTGCTACCCACAGGCACACCCGAGGCAAGCAATGCCCCTAAATGTGTGGACGTCCGTGTATCTACAAGCAAGGGATGCAGCTTTAGTGCATAAGTAGTGCGACCTTACCAGCAGTGGCTCGTAGTCTTGTGGGGCCTGTAGCAGGTTCTCGTCCATGGCATTCAGCGTCACCATGGCCCAAGTAATATTCGCCAGGGCCTCCCAGCAGTTTCCCGGTCAGTGCCGGAAAGATGCTCCTAGCTACTCCTGATAACATTGACATAACTCCTTGAATCCCGATGTGGGGCAGGGAGGGATTTCAACGAAACCGCTGAAGCAAAATATGTCAAGGGCAGGAACGGATCGCACGGATGCTGGACTGCAGAGTTGCTGCCGCAGAGTGACGCGGTTGAATTGAGTCCCTGTGAAATGGATTCGCTTGCTTGTGATCTGCAGTTGCGCTGTCAGGCTCTTGTTCAAACGCCGGCTACAGTCCCGGACAGCCTGAGCGGAGGGCTTTGTTCCGCTGGCGCTGGCCTCGGGTTCACCAAAGCCCCAAATGACCCTGAATCCTGAACAAGCAGAAACGCACATAGAGACAAAGACACACACATACAACAACAGACACACACGCACACACACACACACATCTTGTGGTTCTTCACTGTCGGGAACCGGCCCTTGCGAGCACGGTGTTGGCCTGATGGATGAGGGCCTGGCAGCACGTGCTGAAGCTGATGTTGGTACATGCTATTGGGGAAAGACTGAGACAAAAATAGAACCCATCAACATGCAGGCCCATTAACGGCGAATTGCTACACACACGCTCCTCAGCCTTGGAGACTGCAGAAATTCTCGACATGGCGCCGGATCCGAGCATCGAAAGTCTGACATCCCGGAATCCCAAGCCTGCACGACGCCCTTGACCGTCATTGCGGCTTCTTGATCTTCGTTTGTGGTCCAAAGTCGCGCTATTCGGTGAAACCTTGGAAGATTGATGGTTAGGTCTGGCTTGGCCCTCCTTGCCACATGCTGAGCAGGATGCGCTGTGGAAATGTTCACGAGGTTCATCTGGGACACATAGGCCTTGCCGATTTCTGATGAAGCTCGAAACTAGACTGCTAGAGGACTCTTAGAGGACTTTGAAAACAGCTCCTGGCTGTAAGTGAGGTGCCTCGATGGTCGTGGCCAGCTCCATGAGGTTGCCAGACCTCTCGGTAAGCTCTCTGACAGCAATGCCTCCTAGGGCAGCACGGAGGCCCGAGCTCTGACACCGTGATGATTTGGCTGTTGATCCATGGGAACGTGTCGCGTTTCGATGCACCCTGGCAGCGATGAGTGTAGCAACCCTCCGCCGCCCAGGTCAAGCATAACTTGCATGAGACCCTGCGTATCGGTGTACCCAATGGCCTGGCGAAATCTTTGCCGCGAGTTCTTGTCCCCTTGCTTCTTCTTGGCACCTCGACTGAAAACAAAGGCCACGAGTTTCGGGATGTGCTTGTCATAGGTGTATATACAGATACATATACATATACATATGCATATACATATACATATACACATATACACATATACATATACATATATGCATATATATATATACACACACACGTAGATATTCGCTTATGTATGTATATATATATATATATATATTTATTTATGTATTTATTTATCTATTTATTTATTTATTTGTTTGTACAAGTATAATTTCTGGATGTATATACTTGCATATTTGTATTATATATAAATATCTGTGTATATATATATGTATATATATATGTTTATATATTCATGTATATATATATATATACGTGTATATATATATATACTTATATGCACATGTTTTCATAACTGTATCTTTATGTATTTATATAGTTATCTATCTATATGTATATATATTCATATACTTATGTATTTGTTTGTTCGTATCTTTATATTTTCAGAGGTTCGATTGTCTACATGTATACATATAAAGGTATTTATGTACATGTGTCTGTGTATGTATATCTATAAGTATGTATACATTCGTAAACATATATATATATGTATGTATGTATCTGTTTGTGTAATTATATACTCATATTATATATATATATACATTTATTAATTTATTTGATCATTCATTTATTTACTTATTTCATGATACATTTTATATAAAATCTCATAATAGAGAGACAGAGAGAGAGAGAGAGAGAGAGAGTCAGTCAGTCAGTCAGTCAGTCAGTCAGTCAGTCAGTCAGTCAGTCAGTCAGTCAGTCAGTCAGTCAGTCAGTCAGTCAGTCAGTCAGTCAGTCAGTCAGTCAGTCAGTCAGACATGTATTCGTCTATTTAGCAGGCTTCCCAAGACCCCCGAGCTGAGATTAGGGCTCGGGTTACCGGGCCTCTCCTGTCAGAGCATTCGGCCTGTCTCGAAAAGAAATTCCGGCGCTGCCGCCCAGCTCAGTCCTTCTCCACCATTGCGGAGAGGAGGATCGGCCTGCGGCCTCTGGTGAGAAGCAGAAGTCTTGGGGCCGTGGAATCCTGGACACATCCTGCCTGAGAATGGGATGCCAACAGTCAACTACCCATGCTACTCACAGTCGCTTGCGGCTTTGTGCAGTAATGGCTCGGATGCTCCTTTGAGCTGTTCTTGAAGCTAGGGCACGAGGTTTCAGGGTGCTCGGTTGTGTTGCAAGACAGCGATTTCCGGTTGAGAATTTCGGCTGACTAGTAGCTTAGAGTGAGCTGGAGGACTGCGAGGCTTCTGGCTGAATCATTGTAGCTCTGCGCACTTCTTTGAGCCGGAACGGCCGCCTGCGCAGGGCGCATTCTCCACACTGCAGCAGCTCCACCGAGTATCTTGCGGAACTTGGTCGCACCGCCTGCGCCAGTCTTCTTCCATCCGCGGGCGTAGCGAACTGTTAAGAGACAAAGCAAGGCACAAATGCCTTTAAGGCAACTGGCCCGCGGCCAGGTCAGGCCGGGTCATTAAGCAAGCTACCAGTGAGAGGGCAACATCTTGGACGCTTCCTTTCCGAAAGGGGTACTCCGCAGGTCCACAGCACCTACAAAGCCTTCGGGTTTCGTCGCTTTCGACAGATCTGACAAGCTGGACCGGGACTTGGCGCCTGCAGGTACCCCTTACGACGCGTGACAGCGCTCTACCATCTACGACGCTGCACGAGTGATAACATTAGCTGGGAGCGCGTTGCTACCACGACAGCAAAAAGAAATGCACACCGTAACAAGAAATATTGGCACCACGACAGAAAAACAGAATTACCGCGAAAGCGCATGAAAATATCACCACGACAAGGCATGAAAACCTCACCTCGACAGGGCATGAAAACCTCACCACGACAAGGCAGCAGCAGCAGCAGCAGAAGCAGCAGCAGCAGCAGCACACATCAGCATCAGCAGCCCATATCAGCATCAGTGAGTAAAAATAGCAAAATTGTGAGTCCCGTGCGTCCCCCCCCTCTGGTCCCGCCGCAAGCAGGGGAATCATTTTCTTGGAGGATTAGGCTCTGAACATGGCAAAATGGTGATTCCCGCGCGTCGTCCCCGCTTACTGCAGGGGAGGCCTTGTTTCGAACATCGCCCGCACACCCTCCCCAAACACGTGGGGGATTAACCATTTTGCAAGGTTTTGAGCCTTAAAAGTGTTAACATGGCGGTTCCCGCATGTTCCGCTCACACGTGGGGGAATCACTATTTTGGAGGATTTGGGCTGTGAAAACGGCGCAATGGGGATTCCCGATTACAAAGGCACACTGAATCAAGCAGAGTTACTTCCTAACCGTGTGTATGATCGATTAGCTTCGCAAAGGTCTCAACTCAAGTCCACAGCACACACTGCTACAAGTAGGGTTGAGCCTACGCCCTTGTCAGTGTAAGAACAAAGCTTGTCGTTGTGGTTGGAAAGCTTGTCAGTGTGCGCCTAAACCCTGTCGTGGTAGGACCTACTCCGCATTAGCAGGAGGTGCAAGTCTGCCCTGGAAAAAGCTCGTGTCTCGTGATCGATTTGCGCAGGCAGTCTTACACCCAGAACCTCCTGAGATGCGCCCGAACCACTCGATTCAAGCTCATGCTCTCTTCTGGTTCTGAGTGATCGGGACTCAGCCCAGGAAGATCCACAGCATTACCATGGCCATTGCGCCGCAATTGGGGCCTCGTATTTCTGAGTACAGCACCCGATCACAAGGTGCCCAGGACTTCCTCAGAGGATCCCCGGGCCGACTCAAAACTTCCTCAAATCCCTCACTGGGGCCCCAGCCCCGATACGTTCAACGTGCTTCAAGCTCGTCTTCACCGTCTCATCCAGCTTGGCCAGCCGCGTCTGTGCACCCCCCCCGATGCTTAAGCCCAAGCTGTTAGCCAGAGGCCCTGTTTGGCTTTCGGGCCTCGACCTCAACCTGGAGGTTGCGGATGTCGTCCTCAAGGGCTTTTGAGCCATCGCTTTTGCAACATGAGCGCTGCAATCAATGCATGCGTCTCTCTCTCGCGTTCTCTCTCCAAGATCCTGCAGTTCGAGCTCTCCGGCCGATTTGGGCCTGAGCCCGAACTTCCAAAGCGACTCGATGGCCCAGAGTTGCTCAGAGTGAAGCAGAAGCCCCCTGGGGCCACTGCGGCTCTAACGTTGTAAGCCTGCCAAAACGCGCTCGAACCAGACCACGAGGAACATTCAAACGCTCCTATGCCCCTAAGTACTCCCAAGTGCCCGGGGCCTTTCTGAAGCACCGAAAACAGCCAATCCAAAGCCTGCCACCTGCGAAGAACCCAGCTCGAGATCCCTGAAGTGCCGCCTGTCCGGAGTGTGACCTCACAAGCCAGGGTAAGCAAACGCCCACAACAGCGCAATCACTGCTAGCAACAATTTGATGTTGCACAGCAGGCTTTGGGCTAAGAATGTGGGACATTGTGCTAGAAACTCCGAGCGAGCTCCAGGATTGCCTAGACCTGCCACCCGAACGTCGGAGCGCGGCGGCTTGGATGGTTCAGTGCTCAGAGTTTTTTCGGAGGAACGGGACTCCAGCGACAAGTGATACAAGAATTTGACGCAGTGTTCTGCTGGGGACAAGGGATGGATACGAACAGATTCTCAGGACCCGTCCCAACTTGTCCTTGAGCCGCCGGAGCTGCTTCTCGGCTTTCTCTGCCTCGATTAAAGTCGATTGGTTGCGCATGAAGCGTCTGCTGGGAGAAAGGTCGTGGAGACTTGTGGAATACAGATGTACTCGCAACTCTGGGGCGAGTCACCTAAGCTGGAGCACTCTCGGGCCTTGCGGGCCTAACACTGAAGTGGACGCCCGCCTTCTTCTTGGCTTTGAGCATGCTGAAGGCGGTTGCTTGCCCGAACAGCTCAGGAATGCCCTGATGTGCAGGGAAGCGACACAGACTCTGCAGGATCCTGCTTGGGTGGGCGAAGGCGTCATGAGCCGCAACCAAAACCCTGCCTCGCAGAACTCGTCAATGCCCATGGATCCAGAGCCGTCCGAATCCAGCGCACGGAAGAAGCGCTTCAGCTCGCTCTGCGCGAAGGGCAATCGGAGCACGAAAGCGCACTCTGTGGCTGCGCAACCGGTGGGATGCGAGCGAAGCGAGCCTCCTCCAGGCCAAGGAGGAGCAGCTTGTTTTTCAGCGCCTGCAGAGTCCCCATCTGCGCGAAGCTGAAGGTGGGACGTGGTGTAAGAAGTCGGATGCTCCGGCAAGCTAGCAGCTCCTAGCAGCTAGCATTTCATGAGCCATGAGTACATTGCCCATTTCATTTTCCGGGCAGGGTGTAGTCGCTTGACCCGGTCTTCTTCCGGGCTCACTGTTCTCATCGCAAAATCTGTAAGTTTCCGCGCTCCCCCAGCATTATGGCACGCAGCCCCACAGTCGAAGGGCCACCGCCCCCCGCCCCCCCCCTCTGCAGATACTGCGCATGCAAGAATTTATTTGCAACGACTGGCACGGTAGATGCGTTTGGCCGTGAGCGCACAGCAGGTTGCCGCGCCGCTCACAAAGTTCGGGTCAGTGCTATCAGACGGGCTTGGCGAGCCCAGCTACCGTCCGTATTGGACGCGCCCTTGAAAAATCCTGGAGGTGAGCCCTTGCCGAATGTTCGATAAGCTCAGTCTACCAGAAGCTGCAAACCATCCGAAGGCATGATGACTTCGACAGCTGCAAGGGGCAGCCTCTGGACTGAAGG